CCTCCACAGATCTCGCGAGAGCGGCCGGCTGCTGCTGGTGGCTGCGGAGGGGGTTGGAGCGGCGGCGGCGGCAGGAGCAGTAGCGGCGACGGGCGGCGGCGGAGGAGGAGGAGGAGGCGGCGGCGGCCGGGGGGCGCAGGCAGGCAGGCGGGCGTCGGGTAGCCCGAAGGCATCATGGCGGATAGAGACAGCGGCAGCGAGCAGGGCGGCAGCGGCGGCGGGGCGCCGGGCTCGGGCCCTGGCGGCGGCGGGCCCGGCAGTAGTGGCGGCGGCGGGGTGGGCCTCCAGCACGAGACGCAGGAGCTGGCCTCCAAGCGGGTGGACATCCAGAACAAGCGCTTCTACTTGGACGTCAAGCAGAACGCCAAGGGCCGCTTCCTGAAGATCGCGGAGGTGGGTGCGGGAGGCAGCAAGAGCCGGCTGACGCTCTCAATGTCAGTGGCGGTGGAGTTCCGCGATTATCTGGGCGATTTCATCGAGCACTACGCGCAGCTGGGGCCCAGCCAACCGCCGGAGCTGGCGCAGGCCGCGGACGAGCCCCGGCGGGCCCTGAAAAGCGAATTCCTGGTGCGCGAGAACCGCAAGTATTACATGGATTTGAAGGAAAACCAGCGCGGGCGGTTCCTGCGCATCCGCCAGACAGTCAACCGCGGCCCAGGCCTCGGCTCCACACAGGGCCAGACCATCGCCTTGCCAGCGCAAGGGTTGATCGAGTTCCGCGACGCCTTGGCCAAGCTCATCGACGACTACGGCGTGGAGGAGGAGCCGGCCGAGCTGCCCGAGGGCACCTCCTTGACGGTGGATAACAAGCGGTTCTTTTTCGACGTGGGCTCCAACAAGTACGGCGTTTTCATGCGGGTGAGCGAGGTGAAGCCCACCTACCGCAACTCCATCACCGTCCCTTACAAGGTGTGGGCCAAATTCGGACACACTTTCTGCAAGTACTCGGACGAGATGAAGAAGATTCAGGAGAAGCAGAGAGACAAGCGGGCCGCCGCCGCCGCATCCTCCTCCTCCTCCGGCGGAACAGAGCAGCAACCAGAGACCGAAATCAGCAGCAGCAGCACCGCTATCCCCACTGGCCCGCCCGGAGCCTTGCTGCAGGCGGAGGAGCCAGAGGAGGATTGATCTCCATCTATCTTTCCTCCCTCCTCTCCACATCCCTCCTCCCTGTTTGGCTGCCTCCTCCCTGCCCTGCGACACAGAGACACTGGTAATAATGACAACAACACACAGAGAAAGACATTATACTGTAAGGGAGAGAAAGAGAGAGAAAACCAACATCCACAAGCCGAAAATAATGCATACCGTTAAATATACCTGTTATAACTCCAAGGGGAGCACCATCTACCTATCCACCACCAAAACTGACAGCCGAGCAAGCAACTTCTTTCTCTCACCCCATCGCTGGATTGTTCCTTCCACTCTTGCTCATCGTATAAAACAGTAAGCAGCTGCTAAAAACAAACAAACAAAAAAAAAATTACAAAAAAAGTAATAACATTATATAAGATGAACTGTGTTTCCTACTTGATTAAAAAAATATAAAGAACTGAGTGTTTATTTCCCTAATTAACCAAGAACTTTTGTACACGTTTAAGCTATTATTAAAAAAAAAGTGTTTGCAAAAATGGTCAAGATTAAAATATTGCTGAATTATATTAAAAAAGAGAAAATGTCCTTTTCATGTTGAGCTAACATTTGACTTTAGCACAAAAAAGAGATATTTTAGAACACGTAAAATAATATTTTTAGTTTTTCTTCTCATTTTGTTACCAAATTTCAAAACCTTTCATGGAGGTTATTATAGTATATTTGACACCCTATATACCTGTGATTAGAGATGTGTATATATATACGAGGGCTAGGCATGCTGTGTGTCTGAGCTTTGTCTAAATGTTATGCAGAAGTCTGTAGAGTTTAAAGGTACGTAGGTTTAATTCATGCAAGGTAAACAATAAGTGCTCTCTTTTATACAATATGCATTGCATCTGGACCTTAAGCATATAAAATGGTCAGTGAAACTTCTGTGAACATAAAGAAAAATATTAAAAAGGCATTTAAATGAAATTTGCTAACTTGTGATTTTTATGGTTTGAACCAAAGTTATTCAAATAGTAAAAAGAGAGAGAGAAATGACCTCCCATATTTTTCTGCACCTGTTTGGTTTACAACTAAGTAGGTATCTTGTCATTGTTGTGTATATGAGATGTAATTGTATTGTTCATAATATATATATTTTTATGAAGTGTACTTAAAGTACTTTAACAAGCAGCGATTTTCAGTATGCCTTTTTTTTTTCAACAACAGGTGGTAAGGATTTTTGTGTGGCCACTAGCACTATTCTTTTAATTTGTTCAGAGTCTCAGTCAAAACTTCAGCTTATGCTAGTGCTAACTAACCTGTGTAGGCCTGTGGTAGACATCAGTTCAACATGATTATGGTATAATTCTACTGAGCCATGGATTTGAATTTCCTTTAAAAGTAAAAGCCAAGTTGGTGTGTTGTAAAGAAATTTTCATGTAGCTGTGGTGCTAGTTGTTACTGGCTACATACTTTATTCATGTAGTATTGACTCCTCCCCAAGTGTGCAAACCTTCAGTTATAATTATGTACTTTGTGTGATATATATTAAAGCTGTAAAGTATAAAAACAGTCTGTGAGAATACTAACCTTTCTGGAAGTGTTCTCCAACTTGCAATTATTTGTAGTAATATACTTTTACAGATTTTTATTTAAAATGTTTGTGCTTTTAATTGACTAACTTACTTGCTGCTGTATAGTAAAATATTAATATATTTTTATCATTAAACTGCTGCATGACTATCATCATTGCAAGTGAAAAACAATAAATGATGCCTTAAAACATAGAAAAAAATAGTTGGAATTCTGTAGGAAGAATGGACAAAACAAGAATCTTATTGATTCTTGAGTTTCTGAGTGTATTCATTTTCTAAGCTACTTTGACAAATTTATCAGTGTGGATTTAACTACTGTATGTAGGAGATTCTACCTGTGGGAACAGAACTGTGTTTTGGTTCTCATTGATTGTAAGAGATTGGGTCTAGGTACGACAATGATCGTTCAAAAGAAATGTATTTTTGGTTAAAAATAACCCCCTTCTTTACAGATGTATTATAAGTTATTAAGGCAAGTCTGTTTCAGTTGTATCCTTTATTTTTAGTTAAATATATTTGCTAATGGTGTCTATATAGCACCAAATGTGCAATAATATTATAGTGGTTAGGAGTTTTTTTTAGAATCACTGGAATTTATTACAATTGTTTTCTAAGATGCACTTTTCCATAAGGAAAAAGTAAACTTCCATGGTGCACAATGTTTTCGGCCGCATGTAAAACATTGAGTGTCAGATTTGCTTTGTTTTAATTGGAGCATTTGTAGGCGGTTTCATACTGTATTTGAACTTTGATGTAGAAAGGACTGCATTTTCCATGCTGTAGGTAGTTGAAAAGCTTAAATGTTTTAATTTTTGCTATTTTGTTTGTAAGTTCCACTATTCCCTACAGTGTCTAAAGTTTTAATTCTAGAGATTGGCAGAAGCGTTGTTTTTAGCAATAACTTGTTTTCTATGGGGAGAGGGACAGTCTTGTTCCATTTGAATTAAATCAAACTTGTGTAACAGCAAAATACTCAACTTGGTTTTAGAGTGGACATAGACTGTAGACCTGTAAAGAGAATTTAAGTGAGTACTTTGCTTCTCAGGGTGTGATCGTACATTATATTTGTCCCATTGTTGCCTGTGACCAGATTTGTATAACATAAATGTATGTTTATCAAAGGCAAAACTAGAATGAAGGTACATAGTGTAGGCAGTTAGTCCTTACCTACCTTTGACCTTCTAAATTTGTTGTCTGATCCCAAGCAATGTTGAAGCTATTTTAGTCAACAAATACACACACATACACACACACACGCACACCTTTACGACTTGTGGACTTCAACTCCCATAATTCCTGAGCCAACAGAGCTGAGCCAACTATAACACCTTTACGACTTGTGGACTTCAACTCCCAAAATTCCTCAGCCAGCACATGCACTGGCTGAGGAATTCTGGGAATCCACAAGTCGTAAAGCTGCCAAGGTTGGAGAGCCCTGCCTTATATGATGGAACAAGATGACATGTGAATTTTATAATTCTCCTTTTATTATTAGTCCAATTCCAGCAGAATTTGGTGTCCCAAGTTGAAGAATCTTCCCCCTCACCTCCGTAGGCACACTACATACTTTAGGACCTGTTCAATATGCTGTTATTTGAACCATAAATTAGCTTGATTTGAATTCATGTTTTTCCAGTTGAGGTGCTCAGTACTTGATAAAGGTACAATAACTCACAATTAAAATAAGCAATAGTGAGAAAATCTTGTTTAAAGGCCAGATGAATAAAAGTAATGGTATATTTGATCATATTTGGTATTTTTTAAAAAAGTATGTTCAAATGTGCCAAGCATCCAGCTTTTGGAAAACATGCCTTATTTTTCCTGAATATGTTTTCAGTGTCTTGTAGGAAAGATCCACAGTTATGATATTTTATATGAAATGCAAGAAAACTTGAAATCCACTGCAATATAAACATAAGTCTGTTTTTGTTTTATTTTTAAATGAAAGGGGCACTGTCAAGTAACTTTTAAAATATGATCTCCCTTTCAGACTATCACAGCATGGCAATTGTGTTCATTTTAATTCCACTTGTTTTTTTTAAGTTGCTCTGTCTGAGAAATTAAATAAATGAGTTAAAATTAGCCACTGTTGATTCATGCCTCTTTATTATTGTATGCTGTAAAATGCCATTTTCAGCCAGAGGGGGAGCTAAAGTAATTAAGAAAAAATATTTACTGTAGAGCAGAAATTATCTGAGTGCTAGAAAAAATTAGCAGAGAAGGGCAAAAATGGGGAATGCAACATTTATTAATCTATCAAGAATAAAAGGTGTAAGCAACTTTTGCATGCAGATAATGGAAAACTTATAAAAATGTAAACATAAAAATACTTGACAGTGTCACTTTTTAAAGTATCATTTCAGGGACTGCATCTGATTCTATGTAGCTTTCTTTGAGAAGTACTACCAGTATGAAACAGAAACACCCAATCAGTATTTTGTAAAATGTTGTAGATCTGTCTATTGAAGAAGCTGAAGAAGGAAATTTAAGTGTGCCTATAGTAGGCCAGAAATAACATTTCAAAAGAACAACATTTTTTACTTTTAAAACATTGTAACACTGCTTTTAATAGCCAAAGCTGTGCAAATTATTGTATATATTGTAGTTACCTAATTAGATGGGATTTTTGCACTAATAAGTACATACAAGTTACCGGTGTATGACTTCATGCTGACCAATAGTAACAAATCAACTTTGAATTGTAAATAACACTTTTGGAAAAAAAAATCTTCCTGCAAAGGATGATTAGAATGCTTGAGTCGGATAGTTATGTTAGCAAGATTAAGGATAAAGATTAACTTCATAAATTAGATATTTTTATATGTCCAGTTTACTTTCACTAATAGGAATGTGTTTCGGTCATCTAAATATGGCTTTTAAGAATTTTGAAATTACAACATGTGTCTCTGCCTCATCCCTGACCAACCTGTTTTTTCATCTCGTTCAGGATTTCATTTAACCAACAGTTCCTATATGTTTGGAATGAGTGATGGTTATGTTTTAGTGCCATATTATGTCTCAGAAATCAAAATTAAATTGATTTGGTGTCTTGGTCAGCTATCTATCAGTAAACTAAAAATGGAGTAGTAGTAATATTATATAAGAATAACTGATGATCCCATAATAGCAATAGCAGTTAGACTTATATACCGCTTCATAGGGCTTTCAGCCCTCTCTAAGCGGTTTACAGAGTCAGCATATCGCCCCCACAGTCTGGGTCCTCATTTCACCCACCTCGGAAGGATGGAAGGCTGAGTCAACCTTGAGCCGGTGAGATTTGAACCGCCGAACTGCAGGTAACAGTCAGCTGAAGTGGCCTGCAGTACTGCACCCTAACCACTGCGCCACCTCGGCTCCCTTAATGCACTGTTAATTGTCAAAAAGTTAGTTACAGTGAATTAGAATAATTGTATTGACATTTTAAATGTCTATGGAGATTCTAAATCATCCAGGTCATGGTTGTTCCAAAGGTGCTTTTTCAAAAAGCAACTGGACTTTTTTTTTTGGGGGGGGGGGGTTCATTGAAAATACTGATGCAGATAAACCCCCAAGTTGCTTTACCAACTTTCAGAGAACTAACAACAGACCCTCAGAATGTTAACAACCAGATGACTGCAGAGTACAAATCCTTCCATTCCCCACTAGTCAGTTAGAACTGAAGAATCTTCTTGGATGAGAAGTGAAACACCAAGGAAAAAAAAAATCAAGAAAATCTACTTGCCCTTGGGACATTCACATTTCATGTTTAAAATAAAATCTCAGGTATGTTTGATTTCTGACGTATTTTTTTGTTTTATAAATTTACAATAGAATCCTACTTCTCCTGCCCATCTTCCTTCTGGGCATTGTACTTTCTAGTACCAGTGCTTATACTCTGTATAATAACCTTCTCCAATTTGATACCCTCTAGGCACAAATATACGTTAGATGTATAGATTTATAAAATCAAGAATTCCCAGAAATTGTAGATGCAACACATCTGGAGACCATTAAGTTTAAGAAAGCTGCACATATATTGATAACATGTATACTTACATGTCGACTTACAAGAGTTCATTTAGTGACCAAAGTTACAACATCACTGAAAAAAATGACATGACCATTTTTCATACAACTGTTGCAGCATCCCCATGATCAGAGTTCAGACAGTTGGCAACTGACTCATGATGGTTGCAGTGTCCCAAGGTCATGTGTTCACTGATTTTGACCTTCTGACAAGCAAAGTCAATGGAAAACTCAGATTCATTTAATAACTCTTACTAACTTAACTGCAGTGATCACTTAACAACTGTGTCAAGAAAGATCGTAAAACGGGGTAAAACTCACTTTAAAAATGTCTTGCTTAGCAATATAAATTTTGGGCTCAGTTGTGATCATAAGCCAAGGGCTACCTGTATAACATAAGCTTTCTATAAAGATGAATCTTCTAGCTACAGTTCCCTCATGCTTTCCTGGCAATAAGAATCAGGCTTTTCCTTAATCGAGTGGGCAACTCTAAACTAATCAGAAGCATAATTTCTTAATATTGGGAGATGGAAATTTCAAAAAGAAAAGTAAAGTGAAGGTTAATATAGGCTTCAAAGAAAATTAATACCCATGAAAGGCGAATCAAGAAATGCCAAAATATTTGGCCCTGTCCACAAGTTTAATAGTTGCTTTGTTCTGTCCTCTGCCGTTCTTGGCCCCCCCCTTTCCAAGTATGGTAAGTATGATCCCAAGTAATAAAAAGGCTGCTCAGCATATTCTAGGTTAATATGCATAATACTGCAATGTTTTGTGAAGTTCTTGGTGCTCTCTGAAGTTGGTTGTTTGCTTGCAGACATCATGTTACCTAGTTGGGTCATCACACATCTGCAAGCAAGCAAACAACCTCAGAAAGCACCAAAAACTCCATAATTCTACCCTGAGCTTCATATATTCTATTATATTTCATTATTCATCTATTAAAACATAGAAAATTTTACAATTTTTGGGGTAGATAAATATAGCTAATTGTTTGTGATCTTAGGAAGGACTATATTTACTAAATATTTCTTCCTCTGTTACTTAGTATTGTATATTTAACAGTAAAAAATGTTTGATTTATTAAGTCATTGAACAGTATATTTTTGCACAATATTTTATTATGGGCATTCTTAATTGAAATAATAGTGTTTGAGTTGTTTCTGGTTAGAGACTGCTAATCTTACCAG